TTGCTAACTAAGTATTACAGGCGTTATTTTAAAACGAATAACAGTCATAATTTTTGATGACTTTCTATTTATTCTTTTTAATGGTGTTATATGACATTCCTATGTTTCCATAGTTTGCAAAACGGCTCTTTCAATGATTACTAACAAATGCAGCACAGTGTTAATTCAGTTTTCTTTTTAGTACATCAATTTATCCAGGCTCTCTCGCTTTTCCCATCGTAATACTTACACCAACCCAAATTCAAATTGTTAAATATTTCAATTCAACCAAGTCAGTAAATGTTTGTAGCAAACTGTTAAATTAGTATAGTCAGTTGAATTAGTTAAATTAGTATGTACAGTTAAATTAGTACAGTCAATCTCCAACAAAAACAGTCAAAATCTACATTGACTGTTTTCAGTTAACATATGTTCTTCTTCTCACTTTTAATTGTTGACCACAGCTGGAGATTCATAACAATGTTTCTTTCCCATGTTAATCTTATGGAGAAATACAAAACTTTAAAGGGCTCCAGGGCCTCACTCTATAAATATTTCCCTAAAAAGAAAGTTTCCTGCACAACTTCAAGTTACGCTCTTTCCAATGACACCAAAAACATGTCAATCGGTTCAGTAGTTTCGGAGGAGTAATTGTCACAAAAAAACCTGCTTGCGTATTAAATAAGTACTAGTTGCTCTGCCCGTGCTTCGCTACGGGATGAGATTGCAGAAAAGAATAATTCGGTTTTAATATAAGATACTGTAAGAAACAGTTACTGCACACTTACCAGGAAAATATAGGCTCAATCGTCCTTATTGATCATTTAAATGAATATCTCTTAATGTATCACTATCATTTATATAGTGTATTGCATTTAAAATATATGCAAAAGTATAATTCATTGACCACATGGCACCAAGAAACAATTATTTTCCTTGTAAACAAATTAAATTAAATAGTAGAACAGCATTCCTGACAACAGCTGGAGTTTCATAACAATGTTTGTTTCCCATGTTAAAATGAAAGTTTCCTGCACAACTTCACGTCACGCTCTTTCCAATGACACCAAAAACATGTAAATTGGTTCAGTTGTATCGGAGGAGTAATTGTCACAAAAAACCTGCTTGCGTATTAAATAAGTACTAGTGTACCTGTTGCTCGAATTCGAGCAATTGCGAAGTATTACAGGCGACTCACGAAGATTATGGAAATACTCACGATCTACACAACAGTTAGATATAATCAAAATCTTTTGTAAATATCTTATCTTTTCTCAAAAAGCTGATCTTGTGTTTCAGAGTTTCTACAAATTTTTCCCTCTCATAGCCGCATTAGGTTGTCTATAATAACGATTATAAATGAAAAAAAAATATTTCTTTTCTTCTACTTGGCTGTGTTCTATGCCTTTTTCTATGTTTCCATTGTTTGCAAATCGGTTATTTCAATGATTGCTCAAGAAATGTAGCATATTGTTAATTCAGTTTTATTTTTAGCCTATATAAAATTGTCAAGAATTTATCGCTTTTTTCCATTGTAATAATTTCACCCACCCAAGTTTCGTCTACAGATGCAATACGCCAAAGAATATCACCTACGTACAATCTCCAAGAAGTGGTAAAAAAAGACAGAAACCAAGCCATACAATAGATATAAGTTAACTCCTGAAGAAATAGTTTTAAGAGTTACTGTGATATTAGGATTTTCCACTGATTTGGTAATAGAACATTATATTGCAAAACATGACACGATGCAGAATAAAATCGATTTTAAAATTTAGAAAAACCCATTGCAAATACTGTACTTCATTTTGAAAAATTCAATAAATCACAATTTAAATATTAACAGCTGTTTCATTAAAAGTAGTGTAGAATTATGCATATGGTAAACAAATGTGAAGAGGCAACTTTAAAGGCTTCTGGGGCAGAGCCCCAAGGGAATTTACCTCGTTCCTCTTTTGATGGCTCATCTATAGACCAAGACCTTTCTTTAGAGACCCCTACCAAGTTTCTACACCCAGCCGTTCTCTCAAAGTAGCTGGGACAAAAACCCAGTTTTTCCTCCATAAGAATAACATGGGATGGGAATTCAAAGGCCACGGGACAGAGCCCCAAGGGAATTTACCACGTTTCTCTTTTGATGGTTCATCTACAGACCAATACCTTTCTTTAGACACCTCTACCAAGTTTCTACGCCCAGCCGTTCTCTCAATAAATTGATAGCTAAAGCTATGACAAAGAAAAACAGTTTCAAATTAATATATAGATTATAGTACCGTAAAGTTTTCTTAATCATGGTAACTTATTCTCAACTAAATTTTACTATTCCCAGCATTAAAATAAAGTAGTAAGATCCATTATGAGTAAACTTTAAGGTACACAATCCTTGATTGAAATGTAGTATACATTAACAGTCATAATACAAAGCAATTATTATGTAGTAGACTTTGACTATTTTCAAGTAACAAACATATGTTTCTGTAAATAAAAATTATCTCCCCATGTTATCCTTATGGAGAAATACGAAACTTTAAAGGGCCCTAGGGCCTCATTCTCTAATTATTTCCCTAAAAAGAAAGTTTCCTGCACAACTTCACGTTACGCTCTTTCCTATGAGACCAAAAACATGTCAATCGGTTCAGTAGTTTCGGAGGAGTAATTGTCACAAAAATCCTGCTTGCGTATTAAATAAGTAATAAGATAATACTGTAATGATACCATTTTTAAATGCAGAATCTTTATGTTGGTTATTTTTAATGTGTCAATAATGCGAGTTTATTTAGGCCTACAATGGTTTTCAATTACTTGAGATGAACGGAATACGAATGACTCGTTTTTGTGCAGTCACACAAAATGTGTGAAAATGTGCAAATAGCACCGATACTTTTTAAATAAACCTGAACTACTATTTATTTTTTATTAAGTCACGTTTGAAGATAGAAATCTACGTTTTATATTAGTTATGCATGGACAACATATACAATATTTACATGCTAATAATAAGAAAGTCTGGTCTTTATACACACATTCCAATCAAAAATAATTTTATGTGAAACTAGCGGTAACCCGCGGGCTTTGCCCCGTTTAACTTCTTAATTTTCAAGATGATCTCGTTTGCATGGCTCAATCACGTCCTGGTTGAAGTTCGTTCGCTACGCTCACTCACCTTTAAGTTGGAGCTCGTTCGCTACGCTCACTCACCTTTAGGTTGGAGCTCGTTCGCTGCGCTCACTTTCCTTCAGGTTAGCTCGTTCGCTACGCTCACTTGCCTTCAGGTTAGCTCGTTCGCTACGCTCACTCGCCTCCAGGTTGAAGTTCGTTCGCTACGCTCAGTCGCTCACTCACCTTTTGGTTGCAAATTAGCTGTTGTTATAAATGTAAAAGAAATAATAGTGCTGCACCCTGTTGGTAATCCTTGTAACTTTAATGCTATTGAACATCATAGAACAGAACCAACTTGTTTAATTGAAACAGCTGTTAAGATTCATTAATTCCATTTCTCATAAGGTTAACATGGGAAACTCCAGAGCCACTGGGGCGGAGCCCGGAAGGATTTTTGGGATAAAAATATGCCTATATGTTAATCGGGAATATGAGCTATCATCATGCCGAATTTCAGCCCGATCCGACCAGTATTTTTTGCGTTCACTTGTCACAAACATACATCCATCCATACATCCATACATCTAAACTTTCACATTTATAATATTAGTAAGATGAAGAGGCTTGAAAACCAAACAGATATTTTGAAATAGTAGCCCGAAACTATATTACGATTGGCAACGTTAGACGTATATGTAATCTTATTAATACTGTCATGATTATTTCATTCATATTTAATCCATAATATCCGGAAAATTAAAAATAATACTAAGCTATGAAAACAGAAAAAGTATAGTTCAACTGATCTGAAAGATTGGCGACAAACATGGACAACGCAAAACAAAAGCCTGAGGGATGCATTTTCTTTATCCTAAAGGCGGTTCCAGACATGCGCCAGTCACCAAGCACGAAATATTAACGTTCAGCGATTTAGTTGTCTTGCTATTCACCGATTAAAAAGTAGACTTATACTACACACATGTGTTGTTTTCCGAGCAAGTGTTAGTTTTTCCGTCCGTAGGGAACAGAAAATATTCGTTTACTTTTATGTATGCAAAAATACCGACTATGTGCAACACTACGTCACAGTGGTGGATAGTTGTACGAAAATGTAACCGTAAAATCTGAAAACAGCCAGCTTTATTACCTAAAACATAGGGGATATTGCAGTGAATCTATCCACTAGTGTGACGTCATGAACCTTCAGCATGGCGTGTTTTTCTAGTGGGGCCTTGGTCGAAATCCCAAACAATGGACTTTGACAGGTAGAATGTACAGTCAGGTCCCAAAACAAGAGACTTAAGACAAATGTCCAGATTCGTCGTTGCACGACATGACGAAACTGGACACATTCAAATGTGTCCAAGCTTAACGTTGCACGCAAACGACGAACCTGGACACATTTATAAGTTGTCCAGGGGTGGCGTTGCACGACACGACGAATCTGGACACATTCAAATGTGTCCAAGTTTAACGTTGCATGCAAACGACGAACCTGGACAAGTTTTTAAGTTGTCCAGGGTTGTCGTTTGCGTGCAACGTTACCCTTGGACACATTCAAATGTGTCCAAGCTTAACGTTGCACGCAAACGACGAACCTGGACACATTTATAAGTTGTCCAGGGGTGGCGCTGCACGACACGACGAATCTGGACACATTCAAATGTGTCCAAGGGTAACGTTACACGCAAACGACAACCCTGGAAACTTAATCTGTCCAACTTTAACGTTGTCCGCGTGTGTCGTTGTCCAAGTTCGGCGCGGTCCCCAGGAGGAGATACCTAGCGGCAGTTAGACGAACTGTTGCGAACGTCAAAGCGCGCCAACCACCAGCGCACCTATTGGCGAGGCGACTAGATGTGATGATGAACTGTTCGTTGAGTGTTGGTTGAGTTGAGATGTGATGTGATGTGAATTGTGAATGTCAACTGTCAAGACTGGCTTGGTGATGGCGTTAGTCTAGCCAAGGCTGCTAAGCAATTTATTTTCTCTCAATCTTTTCGTTTCGTTGTCACACAAGTTAAGTTGATTACCTTATTTCAGTATCCTAATAATTGGTAAGTACTGCACAAATTGTATTAAGAGTTTACCGATAAAACTATTTTTTTTCTTGGTCGGAAATTTTACAGTTTGACAGCCAAGGGTTTGTCGTCTCCTCTGTAGTCTTTACTATTCAAATTCGAAGTACAGTAGGACTACACTGTACAGAAGGTTTAGCTACAATCATGGAAGGGTACAGTTTCTTAGCTGGACTATGCTAATATCAATTGAAACTATCGGTTCGATTAGTAAACCTTCATGCGATTTTTCACGATCAGCAAATTTGGTTGGTTAGGTTAGGTTATGATAGTTTAATTTTATAATAGGCCTAGATATATTTAAAAATATCGGGTACAGTTTCTTAACTGGGCTATGCTAATATTGATTGAAACTATCGAATTGAAAATATTGATTAATAATCGATATTTTTAAATATATCTATTTTAAAATAAAACTATCATAACCTAACCTAACCAAACAAACTTGCTGATGGTGAAAAAATCGCATGAAGGTTTACTAATCGAATCGATAGTTTCAATCAATATTAGCATAGCCCAGTTAAGAAACTGTAGCCAAAATATTGATTATTAATCAATATTTTAACCCTTCAAGTGTCCATAGTTTAGGCCTTAATGTCCACCTATTTTTGGCCCCTTTGCAAGGTTTTATTAAAACGGATCTGAGAAGCTTAAAACAATGTTAATTCTAATGTTCTATATACCATTTTGTTTGGAAAATCATGGGCTTCAATATTATATATAAAACATAAGGAAAATTTTTTCAAAAAAAAAATTTTTAGGTAAAAAAAATATAATTTCGAAAATTTTCCAAAAAAAAAAAAAGTTTGCGCTCAATGAAATTGTATAAATTATAGGCCTATAAATATTTGAAAATAGCCACTTTGTTCTAAATTTTATGAGGATTACAAATATATAGTAATATAAGGAAGTAGATTTGCAAATAAATAAGTTATGGGCAAAAAACTGATTTCAGTACATAGCGTTTAGCTAAGAATGCATAGCCTAACCATAGCTAGGAATCTGGCTGATAATTTACATCAATATCACTACCTACTTCTTCAGGATCATCAACCAGCACTTCAAAACCACTTAAATCTTCTTATAATGCACCACGTATATCACTACTTTTGATTTTTAACACTAAAACAATGATAAACGTAATAAAACACATCAGTCATCGGTCCGGGGGAACCTAGCTGTTTACAAATACACGCACGTCAGCTGTCTGCTACAATATTTTCGGAACTAAAATGAATAGCGCTTAGAGACAGACCTCTGGAGAAAGCTTAGAATATTACGGAAAGAACGATACCTAACTCGATCCAGTTCAATCCGATTCAGTCAGTCATAGAGCCTTCGCCGTAAACGATGTCTGCGTGTCGAAAAATCGACAAGTAACACTACACAAAGTGTGCTGCTTGTCGAATTTTCGTCAAGTAACACTGGGAGGGTTAGATTCGATAGTTTTAATTGATATTAGCATAGGACCTAGCCCAGTTAAGGAACTGTACCCGATATAAATGCTCTTAGCCTATCTGAATCTTCTTATTTAATGTGATTCTCATATCGTCAAATTAAATGAAATGAAATGATTTATTGTCGTCGTACGCAATTAGAACTTTGTCACATCAATATTGGTCAATATCTATGCCGTAGATTCTATGCTGATGTCAAGTGTACAAAACCTTATTGTTAGGCTACCGGTACCTTAAGTTATTTACAAAGGCTAAGTAGGTACTTTTTGGCCAGCATAGGCATACAAGTCGATTCACACATATCGGTTCCGGCATGCCACAGTACAGTCAAATCAGTCACGTCACAGTCAACAAATTTATTCTTTAAAGGTCGATTCACAGATATCAGTCCAGTCACAGTTCCGTTACAGTCCAGTCACAGTTGCATCCGCAATTTCTCTGTCAAACTCTTCAGTCATTTGATTGCAGTCACTCTTCCGTCCCTTTATTTACAGTGTTGTTACAGTCAAAAATGTTTAATTAAATCACAATATATTCTATAAGATTGTCACGTTTGTCTTGTTGATTGTTACAAACATTACTTAAAATATACAGGGGTGGTAGGCCTGACCTACCGATGTTAGTCCCTGCTAGTTAATGTGCTGAAGGAATTTTTAGTTATTTTTCTATTAAACGACGAGTTTAGTGAGTAAACAACGATCTGTATTAGCTACTTATTTTTAGATCTTGATATACATTAGCTAAATCTTATTTTCTCAATAGACATTAATAATATCAATGAGCAATAATTCTGACCGTTATGATAGGTTAGACAGGATTTCAATATTATTGTAGCAAGATTGCCGTTGAGTTCAAATTCGAAATCCGCGCATGCGCATTAGAGAGTCAGGTTTGCAGCTCAAGGGAATCTGCGGTAAATATTGTGAAAGCTTGCAACACGCCATAAGTACACGCTCACGACATCTCTCAGCAATCGCTGAAACTCAGTGTATGATCACCGTTGCACCTGCAAATACAGACAGGCAGTCCCGCAACACACAACTGTACTGCACACAGCCCGATAGCAGTTCGAAGGAGCTAAGAAAATGACTGGACCTTTGACGCGCCGAGGACGTGGAAATTTATTGCGTGAAGCGAAGAAAGACCTCAGCAATTTAAAAGAACAACTAGTTAACGATGAAGTAATCGACTTTGCTGTTAATCTTCGAGGGACACTCTCTGCAATTTCAGATAAATATAGCAGTGATGCTATTGTCGACCTGATACCTGACATTACTGGAGTCCTTAATAAATTAGATGCTTCAACGACTGTAAATATTGATCTAAAAGAAAATCTTTCTCAGCTCTCGGAAAAAAATAAGCTACTAACACGACTTCTAGAAAGTGAAAAGCTTAAAAGGAAAGAAAATTTTGAGAACTCTTTATGTTATGAAGAAAACGTTGAGCAAGAAATTAAGCAGTTAAAACTTCAGGTAGAGAAGATGGAGGCGTCTCTGTGTCAACTGAAAGAAGAAATCAAAAACAAAAACGCAATAATAAATTTAATTCAATCTGATAATCTTCGTCTACAAGAAAAAGAAAAAAACAAGTTGCCATCTTCGACCTTATCTAAAGACAGAAAATTCATCACACCTAAAAAATCCTTTAAACCAAGTAAAACTCCGGATCAATTAACCTCGACTATTGTAAACAACAGGTTTGCGGCTCTTGCATCTGAATCCTCGACATCTGAATCTCGTGGTCACCTGGTTCAAGTCCAAGCTCAGGTCCACAGACCGGCAACACCTGAATCGGTGCCAGTAACATTTGAGGCTCATCCCACTGTAAGTTCTGTAACTAGAAGGAAGAGAATTACAATACTGGCTTACAGCCAAGGAAAAGAGTTTGCTAATTACCTGGGGGAGTTAGAGAAGGACTATGAAGTGTTTGTATATGCAAAATCAGGCGCCAAACTGAAGCATATGATTCATGACGGCCTGGGCATGGTTAAGGATTTTAATGAAGACGACTTTATCATTATTTTGGCTGGTACAAACGATCTGCATTACAAAGAACCATCCCAGCTTACTATTTCACAGGGAATACGATCACTCCTTTCACTTAAACTCAAAACCAACATCCTCATCAACAGTGTGCCTTATCGTCACGATGACTCCTCACTCAATAACAGCATATACTTCAGTAACCACACTCTAGCAAATGCAATAAAAAACTATACTGGAAACCTCAAACTGTTTTATCATGATGTAAACACCATCCTTAAGAGACAGGATTTTACAAGACATGGACTCCACTACAGCCGGCGTGGTAAACAGAGTTTAGCTAGTCACATCACCAAGTTCATCAGGCGAGCCAAGAGTCAGTCATCTACCCCAGCTCCGGTTGTAACTGATGGTCTTGTTACACCTTCCAGGATGTGTGAAGCTGAAAGAGGTGGTCCATCTGCTGAGAGAAGTGCCCCTACTGCCGTAGACGCCTTATTCAACACAACCTCTCTTATTGAACCTTACCCTGATGTGACATCTCAAACTTCACCACAGCCTTCACCTTCCTCCCCATCATCAGCAGAGCCATTCAGAGAAAGCCAGACCCCTAACATCAATAGTTCCTTCAGAGAGTCCACATTCTCTTCCAATGATGACTTCCCACCGTTACCAGCAATTGCAAAATCTCCGTTTGAAAATGATTTTTTAGAAAGGGCACTCGACTCAGACTTGAACCCGACAAATTAACGTCAACTGATTTTTGTATTTACCATCTCAACATAAGAAGTGCACGACACAAAATAGATGAGCTTTGCGCCTCCTGGAGCCAGCCTCCAGACATACTGTGTCTCTCGGAACACTGGCTGCATGAGGACGAGCCTCTTATTGTTCCTAATTTTACTTGTGTCTCTAAATTTTGTCGAGGTTCAGGTTTGGGTGGTGGTGTTTGTATCTACTATAACAACCATAGTATGTTTAGTCTTAAAGTGTCAAATTATAGAAATAACATGGTTCAGAAGCTATGTAAAGCCAATTCCTTCGAGTTTTGCGTTGTAAATATTAAAATTGTAAATAGTATTGTTTTTAATGATGACTTGAATTTTTTAATTGTTTGTTTGTACAGACCTCCACACAATAATGAACAAGAATTTATTAACTAATTTGAAAAGATAATTCATCATCTATTGAAAAATAATATGTTAATTGTACTGTGTGGAGATTGGAATATTGATTTTCTTAATTCTGTTAATCCAAGTATTGAGAAGCTAAGAAATATCTTCTTATCTTTCAATTTACGTGAATTAGTTAATCATGCCACTAGAATCACTGACACCAGTGAAACCCTCCTTGACAATGTTGTTACCAATTTAAACACTGAAATAGTTTCATGTCGTTCATTTATAAACACATTATCAGATCATGATTCTCAGCTAGTATCAATAAGAACCAATTGCAAACCAACAGAATTATTTGTTAAGAAACGATCCTTCTGTAAACGTAATATTTCTAATTTTAAGGAAATTTTGTCTCAGGTAGA